GTGGCTTTTTTTACCCCCTTTTCCTGTATCAGGCTCCTGGGATAGAGTGGGAAGTTCTTCTTAGCCTCAGATGGCTTTGGCTGAGGTAACATATCTGTGGGTTGCTCAGTTAGGTTGGAGAAGAGGTGTTGTTACTGTGGACAGCCCCTGTAGGACAGCTTCAGTGGTGTTATCTCAAGAAAGTCATAAGGTGAGGCTGGAAAGAAGATATGCCACTGTGAACAGCTCCTGTGATGGCAGCAGCTGAGGTGTTATGGTGCAGCCATTTTGACAGCTCCTGTGAGGACATCTTATGGTGGTTGTAGGCTGGGGCAAGAAGGAGTCATTATTTACTATGTTTCATCTGGGCTGCTCTTAACTCTCCTTGGCCAGTCAAGAGGGTCATCTTCTCTTTACTCCTAACCCATGGTAGCTTGTCCTTTCTCCTCTTGCACTCCTTTTCCTCCTCATGGTCTTCCTCCAACCCCAAGCACCATGAAACCTAAATCCTACCTTTCTGCCAAGATATTGACTGTGGTCATCTTTATTTACCAATCAAAGATTACTTGGAGGAAGGGTCACTCAGCATCTACATGCAGACTCTTTCATCTCTGGGGCAACCAGTCTTGGAAGCCCAAAATTCACATTAGAATACAAGCAGCATCAGCCCAATCCACTACATTTACCCCTTTTTGTTCAATTAAGAAGGCTTTTTCTCTTATAGTGACAAACAATACATAATTGAAACAATTATGAAAATTATTAAGTATGAATTACATTTAAAGTCCAGTCTGTATTTTGTAACTTAGATGAGGTACTTAACTATCTATTCTATCTCAATGAGTCTAACATTCTGTACATAAATCCTCTTCTCTTTTAACTTGTATTACCATCCTAAAACCATCTTTTCAAATTTAGAACATCTCCTTTCAAGCTAAACAACTTAAGTTCAAATGTGAGACTATAGCTAGTCTTCAACCCCCTCAGAGACTTGAGAAGGAATAAAATATTACCTGAGTATACAGGAAGAATAAAGACGCAGCTTCCAAAACTATAAAAATGAGACAGACAGCTGACCGCCTGGACAGTCCCCAACCTTCCTTATAACACTGGAGCATCTATCTTCAGTCTTTTGGTCCAGAACATCTGATAGACCTTAAGTGAAGAAGGATTTATGAAGGACTAACTTATTCTGTCTTGGAAGAGCTAAGTAGTTGATGATCTTATGTCTGTTTGTCCTTTTTTGAACAGCGTTTTGTCTGCAGATGAAGTTAGGGCATTTTCCCCCAGTGGCTAGTTTGCCATAATCTAAGCAACTCCACATGGAAGTATTGATGCTCACCACCTTCCTTGAGGTGGAATGGGGATACTATCAGGAGCAGACATATCTCATAGTCAAAAGATCTTTTAATAATGAAATAACATTTAGTGCCATATTCTATGGATCTCTGATGCTTTTGAAGACCATTCATCTATAAATAGCATAAACGAATTGTCAAACACTGATTATTTTTAGTTATTTATTATTTGAATAATAAAAACATTTTATTGTAATAAATTAAATTATAATCTGATATGAGCATGAGTTTGACTATCTGACTATTAACATGCATTACTTAATTATTTTAAACAGTTTGTAACGGCAGCTATTAAAAGGACTGTGTCTAAGCCTTGTATTCTTAAATGAGTTGCATAGGCACATTGCCTAAGAGTAATACAATTAATTTTAAATTTTGTATCAATATACAAAGATTTATACCAGTGAAAATCTTAAATCTTATATCCAAAACTCTGTATCAATGTAACAAAATATAATTTCAATTTTTTTAAATATAAAGATTTATACCAAAGTAAGATTATGGCTATAAAATGCTTTAAGAATAAATTTAATAATCTATCTTCATTTTCCCAATTTCTTATAATATTACTTCATCCCTCCTTATTCTTTTCAACCCCCATCCCTTTACCCAAGAAAGAAAGAATGATAGAGAAGATGAAAGGAAATATAAAATCCCCCAAACCTAAGCTCCCTATTTAGTTTCCCTCCTGTCCAGAACTATAGTTATTTGTAAATTATCTTTTAAAATGACAATATTTATACTTTAAAAAATAACCAAAACCAGACAACCCAGCTTAAGAGATTGGGATGATGATTTTTTATGTTTGCTTCCTGCTGAATTGGGGCAAAAAATTCCTTTGGTGGGGCAAGAAAATTAGAAAAAATGGTTAGTCTTAAGAAAGCTAGCTGAAGCATTTGTTGTCCAGTATCTGTATGCTTAACTGAAGTCCTGATTGGAACCATCTAAGAGGCTGGATGAACCAAAGAAACTTCAGAAGTAAACAGTTCATTTGTTTTAAACCACACCTTCTTCAATATAGTATCAGAAATCCCTCACCATTGATAATTGTTTTAAACCATTCATTCTTCTAATTTGTATCAGAAATCTCTCACCAGTGGGCTTCTTTGTCCAGCATCTACCTGCTGTCCAGGTCACCAGCCTATTTTGACTGAACAGCCATCTGTGTCACTATAAGGAGTCTTCAGTATCATAGTGCTTGTTGGTGCTGCAATTTAAATAACAAAAAAACCCCCAGACACATGTGCTTCATTCAAGTGTAAAGGTTAAAGCTTTTTGTAGGTGCGTGTGTATGCCCAGTAAAAAACATAGTGTGTGTGTGTGTGTGTGTGTGTGTGTGTGTGTGTGTGTGTGTGTATGTGTGTGTGTGTAGTGGTTCAGCACCATTGGTGGTTTGAAACATTCAAGAGAAATATATCCCCCATAGATGATGAATGTTGGATAGAAGTCTGGCTGAAAGGAGTAAGGAAAAAGAGAAGACACAAAATTGTAAAAACAAAACAAAATGCTCTCTAGGATGTTGAAGTATAAACCTGTTTGGATAGATTCCTCCTTGTTGTCATCTTCCTCATCCTTGTCCTTGTCCTTGTGTCCTCCTCATTTTCTTTTTTATGAAAGTTTCAGGTATCAATATTGACCACAACCTTGTCACATAACTAAAATGTCTTTCAATTTCTGATCTTCCTGATGCTAACTTCCATGTGCTGGAATTACAAATATGTGCACCATACCTAGTTTATATGTGCTGGCAAGTGGAGGTGCACTGCATTAAATGGACTACATCCACAGTCTATCCTTGGAGATGTTTTGGCACATAGATCATAGTTGGTTATTAGACTGAGATGTTGCTATTCTTTGAGTAGACTTGTGGTAACATCACATATACAGTGAATTACTCTCTTTGTTACAGCTTTCCTACATTATTTTAACTTCTATATTTTATACCACAGAGACTCTCTACTTTAGCAGATGTTGTTTCATTTATTCTCCACATCCACTCAATGCCTTCTTGATATCAACATATAAAGCCAAACTGTTTTTAATATTTGTATTTCATCTATGAAATTAAATATGAGGAAGATACTAAATGCTTATATAGACTCGTGATGAAAGCAATCAAAATGCTGCATTCTTGAAGGTGTTCATCCTGTGCAGGCTGCAGAGTGTTTTCTATCCTCTCTCACCTATCTGAAGACCATAGACTTTCCAAGGTCATCCTACTAACTTCTGATTTTTTTCCCACAGGCGTATTCTTAGATACATTTAGTTAACCTGGTCTTTATTTTGTACAGATTCAATAAAGTTTTAATTAATTTAAACCTATCACTTGTAAGAGGATTTAAAACGTGGACACATGTGAAAAATTATAACTGTGGGCATTATCACCCCTGGATAGGAAGGCCTGAGTTATATAAGATGAATAAGCCAGGAGAAGCAAGCCATTAAGCAGCTGTCATCTCTGTTTCCTGTCACTATTCCAGCTTGAATTCCTGACTTGGGTTTCTTCCAAGATGGACAATGATTAGAATATAAACTGAATGAACATTTAGTCCCTCTCTCAGTGGCTTCTGGTAGTTTATAATTTTCTTAATAATAGATAGCAAATTTATTCAAACACCAAAAGAGGTGACCCATTTCTGGCACTGCCTTTTTGTTCATTAGTCTGGGAGGCCTACTTGTGCCCCATATATAGTAACCCTATTTTAAGTCTTTTTATGTAAGTGTGTGCATAAACTTCTAGAATGGAGAAAAATTCATGCTTTCTTAATCATAAATATCCTAATTATTAGCACACATTAATTGTACAAGTTAGTAGGTTTGTGGTATCAGTTTACTATATGCATTTGTAGTGATTTCCCCACATTCATCTTGCAGTCCCCTTTGCTGTCCTCTCCCTTCCCCCTCCAAGCACCCCTCTCCCTACTCATTTGCCTAACTTCTATTTTCAGATCATCTTTACTTTCCTTTTGCCCTTCTTTCATTTTTTTTCACTTGAGAACATATGTGTGTTGTGTGCCTCTACACGTCTGCTTTGTTTTGCATAACATCATGTCCTTCAATAACATTAATTTTTTCTACAGATGGCATAAGTTCATATTTCCTTCTGGTTGAGTATTACTCTGTTGTTTCAGATACAATGTTCTGCTTATTCATTGTCTGGCTAGGTTGCATCTATATCTTGGCAGCAGTGAATGGTGCTATAATAAACATACACACACAAGTATGTGTTTATATGCTGACTCTCTTATATGATGACTTCAGTTCCCCTAGATAAATGTTTATAAATATTAGATTAGCTGGATCATTGGTCCACCTTTTCTTCTTCCTTCCTTCCTTCCTTCCTTCCTTCCTTCCTTCCTTCCTTCTTTCCTTCCTTCCTTTTCCTTCCTTTCTTTCATTATTTCTTTCTTTCTTTCTTTTTTTCCTCTGTTTATTTCAGAGAATCCACACTGCTATACTTGGTAATTGTATCAACACAAAATTTTACCAATAACAATAATGTCAGAATTACAATGACAGGGTTTCTGATTCTCAGGACTCTGCTTTCAGCAAAACTAAATTTGAACAGAATGGGAAGTGCTTCCTATGTCAGAAAGAGCTTCAGATAAACTGTCTGTGAAGGGTGGAGCCTGCTGAAAGAACTGAGGTGCCTGTGAAGTTGAAGTCAGTGTTCTGTGAGAGATAAAAGGCCACCTGAGTTCTCCCAAGCTTCAGACTAGCAGAAATGGGCAAGATTCTGACAGCATCGTTTTTGCTCCTAGGCCTTCACCTAGCTGGTGAGTCATGGAGTTGAAACCTGAGGGTGTGGGATTAATGTGAAGGCAAGAGAGAATTGGGGCACCAGGCAAGTCATGATATCTAAGCAGGAAGTACATTCCTGGAAACCTAACAACAGTTGTTATTTCTCTACACAGGGGTGAGTGGCCAGCAGAAGGGGCGACGTGACCAGCAGCAGGTGAGACAAAGTCCCCAAGCTCTGACAGTGTGGGAAGGAAAGACCACAGTTATGGACTGCAATTATGAGAACAGTTTATTTGACTACTTCCTATGGTACCGGCAGTTCCCTGGTGAAAGCCTTGCACTCCTGATAGCCATACGATCAGTGTCCAACAAAAAGGAAGATGGACGATTCACAGTCTTCTTCAATAAAAGTGAGAAACAGCTCTCCTTACACATCTCAGACTCTCAGCCTGAAGACTCTGCCACCTACTTCTGCGCAGCAAGTACACAGTGCTCTCCAGGCACCTGCAGCCTATACCCAAACCTGCAGCTGAGGCTCCAGCAAAGCCCTGCTGTAGACTGAGCCTGGCAGAGATGCAAAGGAAGTTTCATTTGTAGGAACAGTGGATGTAAAGATTAGACTCATTCAGGCTGGAGACAGCCCAAGCTCAAGTCACAGCTTGCTTTTCTTCATTGTCCCCTTGTTCCTCAGAAACAGCTGAAGTTTTGCATGTATTTAACTAGTTTAGATGAATTGCTCTTCTGAATGGTTGTACAACTAGTTCTCTGTGTGGTTGGTTTGTGCCAGCTATAAATTATAAAGGCTCCACCTGTCTACTCTATTGTCATGACGCTAACGTGTGGATGTTACAACCCAGGGTCAGGAGATCTTGACTTTGACTTCTGGGACAGAAATCACATAGGGTTTTCTTTTACCTTAATTTCCTCTGTTGACCAGGGAAGTGGTGATTTAAATGACCATTGACCTCTTCTACTTCCTCATGTTTTACCTCTCATATCCACATCTACCTCCAAGAAATTCAAGTTTGTAAACCAGGAGGACTTATCAATAATGTAGGTGTCTACAATACAAATGAAGTCAGTGGGAAAAGAAGAATCCAATTTACTCAAATAGTAAATTGCATAACCTTCACTAAAGAAGTGACTTCATATCTGTATATTACAGATGAACAAAATATAATTTTGAATATAATTTTTTTCTAATAGAATCAGCTGCAGTCTTTATGGCTATTCACCCAATGGCAAAAGGTCCTCTTGTTTTCCTCTTCCTGAGTGGGCTTTAAGTCCAACCAGAGATGTGTTGGTTATCATCAAGGTATGAGTGGCACTATCATACCTTTGTAAGTACCATGCAGGGCTGTTCATTGTTGTGGTTCATAAACATTACATAAAGATAAACTATTGATTACTCTTCCCCTTTGGCAACTTGCATAGTGCCTTCTGATATCATTAAAGTTAGTGGTCAGTGATGAGGCTTTCAGGTCAGATACAGTTTAAATATTCCATGTCCTGTGTCTACTGTGCATGATATCTCAGCAGGGACTTAACTTTAGTCTCTGGGATCAAAGGCCAACAGCAATAGCCAGCACTTTTCCAAGATCCATTTGATTCCCATGATCAACATATCAAAAGAGGTTTCTTATGCCTGGTACTTGGTTTCTTGTTGGATGAGGTAGGTATGGCTAGGCCACATGGAATAACTTCATTAAAAATATATGTGTAATGTAATTCTAGGTAAACACAACAATAATAAATATCTATAAGTGTTTTTCAAATGTCCTCAGTGGTATTTATCTGCCAGGAGCCATCTAGGAAATGGTAAAACATACGAATGACTTTCTGGAGATAGCATAGCATATTACATGGCTGTGATGGATAATTCTGAATTTCAAAGCTTTCAGAAATCTCACCTCAGGATCGATTCTTATGATATGCCTTTTCTGTCATTATTAGATCAGTATAACAAATCCTGAGCATTAGCCCACCTTATTGGGAAGATCTTCTGCAGATAAACTAAGACATACTTTTTTTTGTAGCAATGCTATGTAGACAAATTGATGATTCCATAATTCCTAATAATGATTCTATAGAATTTCTAAATTTATACAAGTAATTTTTAGCCCTCTGTAATATGAAAGTTGTAATTAGGACTCTGCAAACTTTCATGTGTCATGAGCTAACTGCACTAAGAAAGCAGGCTTGAAGCAGATTTACAATCAGGGATAACATTACATTTGGACTGAATGTGAAACCATTATCTGATAACTAAATGTCATAAACTGAGAATGAACAATTTATTTTAGGTGCAAGAACAAAAAATAAAATACTGTCTGGTTTATCTATACAAAACTTCAATACTAATGAGACACTAGGTATATGATTTTCCACTTGACAAAACCGTGCTTAGATATAAGAATTATTGTTTTAAACTCTTAATGAACCTGTGAGCTAGTGATAGATAAGGAATGTTTAATTAGATAGCTAGTCTTAATGGAAACACATGTAAACATCTCTGCTGTAACTTTTTATTCAATTTGTGATTTGAATTTATGTTTGAACTTGTTGTGAACGTTTGAAAAAAAAAGGATTAGAATATCACGCGATCATGTATCCTGAAAATGTACAAGAACTAGGAATGATAGAAGAAGCAGAAGAGAAGCAGACCATAGCAGGGCAAAGCTGAGCAGCAGAGCGAGCAGAGCGGGCAGAGCGAGCAGAGCGGGCAGAGCGGGCAGAGCGGGCAGAGCGGGCAGAGCGGGCAGAGCGAGCAGAGCGGGCAGTGCGAGCAGAGCATGCAGAGCGAGCAGAGGGAGCAGAGAGGGCAGAGAGGGCAGAGCGGGCAGAGCGGGCAGAGCGGGCAGAGCGAGCAGAGCGGGCAGAGCGGGCAGTGCGAGCAGAGGGAGCAGAGAGAGCAGAGAGGGCAGAGCAAGCAGAGAGAGAAGACGCATTTCTTCTTACTGTGAGACAGGTATTTTTTTCTTAACAGCAAGTTTCTTCTTACTGATAAGAACAGGATTGAGTTTTCATACTCAATCAAAAGAAGTTTTTTTTTCCTTTGTCTAAGCAATAAAGATTGAAGCTTATTTTTCATCCAGAATGAGTGAGTTCTTTCTGTACTGGCGCTTGCTCTATGGAGCTTGCTCATGGGGGCTTTTGCTCTGTCCACCAAATAGATACATGCATATGTAAGTATAGGAATGTGCACATAAGTATGCATGAATACATGTGGAGTTGATGAGACAGGTAATCAAGCCCGACATGTTTGTTTGTGTATGAATGTGTGTATGAATGCATATGCATGTCTATGCATATTTGCTTGTATAAAAGTGCTTCTTTCTGTGAGCATGACTTTCTTTTCCTGGTTCACTAAAAGTTAATTGCTCCAAGCCTCCTTATAGTCTTGCTAGAGACTGGACTTCCAGGAGAGAGAGAGAGAGAGAGAGAGAGAGAGAGAGAGAGAGAGAGAGAGAAAGATCGTCTTTACTTAATCCTCTACTGCTATACAGCGTATGTTAATTGCCAGAGAATTATAAAATAAGTTTATAAAGTGAGCAAGAGTTAGGTTTTCTAGCATTTATTCAAGAACAGGGAATTATAAATTAAATAATAAGCGAGATAAACAGTTAAGGTTCCCAAGTGCTTAATGAAGCACAAAACAGTAATAAACATTTAAGTTTTTAGCACAGAACAATAAGAAAGAGTTAAGTCTTCGGCACTTAATGAAGCACAGAACAGTAAGAAAGAGTTAAGTTTCATACAAGGCCAGAACTATCAGTCTTTTGGCCAGCGTCTAATGCTATGTCCTGTCCAACCCATTCCAGCTGGCGCAGGCCCCCGGCATTTATCTTCTCCCCTCTTCTTTCTTTATTGACCTCCTTTCCCACTTCTGAACTAAGCACACCATTATCCCTATTTTCCTGAATGAATGACTTTCTTTTGTGATTCCTTAAATATTAAGCTTTATTTTTGTTTGTGTATATACAGACTTGTGTGTAAGCACACATGTGTGCGTGTGAAGGCCATGAGATTGTGTCTAATCCCTCAAAGCTGGAGTTGCATGTTTTATAGGACACTAGCTTGTCAAATGGGTCCTGGGAGCTGAGCTTCTGCCTTTATCATTAGCACCAAGTGCTTTTCACTGTTGAGCTATCTCTTCACCAGCGTTAAGCTTTATCTTCACTAGGAAGTATTGTCTGTCAATAAATCACAAAAAAAAGACAAAGCAGCATTTAGAATGATACCAATTGTCCAGCCTAGGACTCAAACCCAGTGTACTCCAACGCCACATCTCAGAGGCTATAGCTGCACATCAGGAGAGCATCCTTCTGCTCTGTGGAGAACGAGAGCAGGGGCAGAGCCTTGCCATCCTGAGCTTGCCAGGCTGCTATGGCTCCTATGGTCTCCTGCTCATGATAGAGACTGCAGTCCAAGGCATGTGCTCTCAGCTGTCAGCTTTCAGTTCTCAGCAGTGAAATGGACAGAGGAGTATACCTCAGATACCAGACAGTAGTCCCTGATGTACTTGCTTGTAGGTCATTTGATCTCATGAGAGGTCTGGAACTCTTTCAGTTATATTTTCTATTCTGATTCCCTTTTGAGTTATTTCATCCACTGGAATAATGAGAGCAAGTGAAAGATTATGAACTGCATTCTAAATGACAATACTATCGTACACAAAAATCCAGCCACTAATTTACATGGCATTAACATGACCCTAAGTTCTTGCAGGCTATTTGTATGATGCACATGTAATAGATGAGTCAGAGAGAGACATGGCAAGCTTATCAATGACCATTTTGCAAATAAAAATTAAACAGAATTTAGCAAGTGATACTTCAGGGCAATGGTATAAAAACTTTTGGGACATGTAATATGTAGAGTTCTCTATGTAAGAGTGCAAGAACCATACTCTGAATGAATCTCAATGTTAGACTTCTAAAAGTTCATCCATGTTTGTAAAAATGGGGTTTTTAATTATTGTCCTTTATCTCTGTTTATGTATCTCTATCTATCTCTTTGTTTCTGTGTCCTTGTGCCTGTCTCTCTGTCTCTCTGTTTCTCTCTCTCTCTCTCTCTCTCTCTCTCTCTCTGTGTGTGTGTGTGTGTGTGTGTGTGTGTGTGTGTGTGTGTCTGTTAACCAGTGCTCATGGTCAACATTTACTATCTTCCTCTATTGCTATCCACTGTTTTATTTGGGGTGGTGGTAGACACTCTCACTGAACCTGAATGTCATCAACTCAACTACACTGACTGTCTTTGAGTTCTAGATCTGGAACTGCAGGTGCTCTCTACAACATCTGGATTCTTATGTGGCTGTTAATTATACACACATAGGTCCTCATGGTGATTAGAAGGAAACTGAATATCTTCTAGACCTCCAAAGACTCTTATTTTACTCCTGTTACAATTTCACAGAACTTAAGCAAACAGGTATCTTTTGGAAATCTAATGGACTGCCCTTTACCACACAATTTAGAGCTAGCTTTGTTAATTGCAGAATTTAAGTAAACCCTAGCACTTAATAAAGGAGGAAGATTATTTCAGATCACAGTGTTTTACAGTGAGATGCATGCTCCTGTGAGAATTTTTAATTGTTAACCTTTATTAGCAAATTGATGTAGAGAAGTAAACATATGACAATGGTCTGTAAGTGCACTCCTTATCACATATGATTCATGATAAATTTGACTTTGGGTCCTAAAATTATCCCACTAAATAATAATCACATGTGTAAAGCAGCTACTTTCTTAGCATGAATTTTTCTATACTCCTTTTTAAGTGCTGCCTTGTTTATCTAACAAGAAAGACGAGGAAGTGAGTAACAGTCTGTGGTGAGCTTCACCTTTTCTCTCTCTACATAGAACATGTGGCCTATGATCTTACAAAACCCCACTTCCTGTTAAGGGTGCTGTATAAGAATGCAGGTAGTGCAAATGTCCACCGTCAGGTACACAGACACTGATCGCTGAGCTGAGGCAGAGCATACACACTCATGCAGAGGACTGTGTGCCACATGCCTCCTTACAGCCTGTTCTGTGTGCTGGTGCTGTTGGCTTTCTCTGGTATGAATGCATCCTGTATAACTAAGGATAACAGAAAACATTGCCCCAGACATATGGTAGTTCCTATAGACATGAGGGGGAAGAGGGATTGGAGAGAAGCCAGCAGAATGTGTATTCTGTCAGGCTTCTCTTTGGGTCTTAAGATGCCCAATTCCAACAGTGTTTTGTTCACACTGTCACAGAATAAACTTTTAACTCTTCTGATTGTTCTGCAGGATCTAATATGGCCCAGAGAGTGACTCAGGTCCAGTCAACGGCAAGCAGGCAGGAAGGAGAAGAACTCACCCTGGACTGTTCTTATGAGACGAGTCAGATTTTATACCATCTTTTCTGGTACAAGCAGCTTCTTAATGGAGAGATGATTTTCCTTATTCGTCAAATTTCTTCTTCTACTGCAGAAGAGAGGAGTGGCCGCTATTCTGTTATCTTCCAGAAATCACTCAAGTCCATCAGTTTTGTCATTTCAGACCTACAGCCAGAGGATTCAGGGAAGTATTTCTGTGCTCTCTGGGAGTTGACACAGTGTTTGAAGTGACAGCACAAGCTGAACAAAAACTGGGGTTTCTTAAGCAGAGCCCTCCTGAAGGAGAGAGCCAAGCTGAGAAGCACACCTGCATATCCTGAACCAGAAGGTCTCAACTGTGGATGCTGAATCTGTGGTCTGCATCAGTACTGTGTTTCTAAGTAAAACCTCAGTCCATGCAACTTAGAAACAGTTATGGTGAGCGGCTTTCTGTAATACTTTGTCTTGAAACGGTTAAAAATAGATCACAGAGAACATGTGTAGTATTTTCTACAGTTGGAAATCTTGCACCACAATAAGATAAAGTATCAGATTTTCCTTTAAGTTGGGAATAGCACATACCGCAGATGAGGTATCTGGAATAGAAAAAATAATTTCCTGGTAAAAGTTACACTCTGAGAAAAAGATCCAGCATGAGCAAAGTTGTCAGAGACAGATTATTAGGAGGTCACCCCAAGAAATTGCTGGTGGTGACTGGGTTATCTCCACAAAACTTTGTCTTTGTATCTGGGACTGAGCCTGAAGTGCTGAAGATCAGCTTGACCAGCAACTGGGATGGACAGCTGCATAAAGACATCTCATGTACTGAGATTTGTAAAAATACAGTGAGACCCAGAATACAATTGGTGTCTAGAAGAACAAAACTTTCTTACCTTCCAAATCTCATGTGTGTATGTGGCAGGAGTGGAGAGTGGGAGTGTGGGCGGGGGTGTGGATAGAGATGGGACTTCAGAAGAAGCTGTGTCACTTACCAACATGCTACACATATACTTGAATCAAGATGAAAATATGCTACTGGAATTAACGGTTAAGGTGTCAATAATAAAGTCATCAGGGAATAATTGAGATCATATGCACCTTGGGCCTGAATTTTCAGAGGCAAATAAAAAATAAATATCAAACCCGTTTCTTAAGTCTTCTACAGTTGCCTTTTCCATGTCCAACATCTAACCTGAGCAACAGGGGAAGTAAATTCAGAGAAATGTGTTTTCAGTTATATTTTTAAAGATTTATTTTTTAATATCATTTATGTAATTGTTTTGGCCAAATGTATGTGTATGAATTGTGTGCTTTGGAGCTCATGAAGGATAGAAGAGGACATTAGAGTCCTTTAAAGTGGAGTTATTGAAAGGTATGTGTTAACAGATGGGCTAGGCAAAGAATCTGGGTCTTCTGCAAGAGCAGCAAGTTCTCTTAACCACTGAGTCAACTCTACATCCCCTATTTTCAGGTAATTTGTGTTGAGACTACAACACTACCACAGGTCATCTGGGTAAACTATCAGATAGAACTTGGATTTTGAGACACAGAATTGGTCTGCTCCTGTGGAGATACTGAATCCTGAGTCATCCTAGAGGAGCCACTGCACTCAGAGCAGCCGGTAAGAACTCCATCTCACTCCCTAAGCCCCAGAGATAAATCTGGGAGCCAGGGACATTCAGGACACAGCAGCTACCCAAACCCCGCCCCTCCAGAATTCCACTTCCCTTCTGCCCCTGCCTGGTACTTTGGGCTGGGGCAGACACAGAGTTGGTCTGCTCCTGTGGAGATACTGAATCCTGAGTCATCCTAGAGTAGCCATTGCACTCAGAGCAGCCAACACAGAGTTGGTCTGCTCCTGTGGAGATACTGAATCCTGAGCCATCCTGGAGGAGCCACTGCACTCAGAGCAGCTGAGGAGCCACTGCACTCAGAGCAGCAGACACCAAGGTGGTTTGCACTTGGGGGACATCGTATCCTGAGCCATCCTAGAGGAACCACTGCACCCAGAGCAGAAGGATTTCCAGATCCAAGAGGTGGCCTGAGTCCCAGGAGTTCTTCCACCCAGGAGATTAGGAGAATAAGACCACAGAGACATCTGGACTCTGAGGAGCTCTGCAACAAGCAAGATAACTGGAAATACAGACTCCAGTCTTACACAGTGAAGGCAGGTAACACTAGAGTTAACCAGATGGCGAAAGGCAAGCGCAAGAACATAAGCAACAGAAAACAAAGATTTGTGGCATCATCAGTACCCAGTTCTCCCAATATAGCAAGCCCTGGACACCCCATCACACCTGAAAAGCAGGATTTAGAATTAAAATCACTTCTCATGATGACGATAGAGGATTATAAGGAGGAATTAAGTAACTCCCTTAAAGAAATACAGGAGAGTACAAGTAAACAAGTAGAAGCCCTTAAAGAGGAATCACAGAAATCCATTAAAGAAATGCAAGAAAACACAAAGAATGAATTAAACAAAAACATTCAGGATCTGAAACTGGAAATAGAAACAACAAAGAAAGTTCAAAGGGAGACAACCATGGAGATAGAAAACCTAAGAAAGAGACCAGGAGTCATAGACGCAAGCATCACCAACCGAATACAAGAGATAGAAGAGAGAATCTCAAATGCAGAAGATACAGTGGAAAATATTGACACAGTTGTCAAAGAAAATGCAAAATGCAAAAAACTCCTAACTCAAAACATCCAGGAAATCCAAGACACAATGAGAAGACCAAACCTAAGGATAATAGGTATAGATGGGAATGAAGATTCCCAACTTAAAGGGACAGTAAATATCTTCAACAAAATTATTGAGGAAAACTTCCCTAACCTAAAGAACAAGATGCCCATAAACATACAAGAAGCCTACAGAACACCAAATAGACTAGACCAGAAAAGAAATACCTCCTGTCACATAATAATCAAAACATGAGATGCACAAAACAAAGAAAAAATACTAAAAGCAGTAAGGGAAAAAGGTCAAGTAACATAAAAAGGCAGACCTATAAGAATTATACCAGACTTCTCACCAGAAACTATAAAAGCTAGAAGAGCCTGGACTGACATCATACAGACCCTAAGAGAACACAAATGCCAGCCCAGATTACTATACCCAGCAAAACTCTCAATCACAATAGATGGTGAAACCAAGATATTCCATGACAAAACCAAATTTGCACAATATCTTCCCACAAACCCAGCACTTCAAAGGATAATTGATGGAAAATGCCAACACAAGGAGGGAAACTACAACCTAGAAAAAGCAAGGAAGTAATCTTCCAACAACCCCAAATGAAGATAACTATACAAACATAATTCTAACTCTAATAACAAAAATAGCAGGAAGTCACAATCATTTTTCCTTAATATCTCTTAACATCAATGGTCTCAATTCCCCAATAAAAAGACGGAGACTATCAGACTGGATACACAAACAAGACCCAGAATTTTGCTGTATACAAGAAACACACCTCAGTGACAAAGAGACACTACCTCAGAATAAAAGGGTAGAAAACAATTTTCTAAGCCAATGGTCCCAAGAAACAAGCTGGAGTAGCCATTCTAATATCAAATAAAATCGACTTTCATACAAAATTAATCAAAAAAGATAAGGAAGGACACTTCATACTCATCAAAGGAAAAATCTACCAAGGTGAACTCTCAATTCTGAACATCTATGCTCCAAATACCAGGGCACCTACATACATAAAAGAAACTTTACTAAAGCTCAAAACACACATTACACCTCACACAATAATAGTGAGGGATTTCAACACCCCACTCTCAGCAATGGACAGATCATGGAAACAGAAACTAAACCAAGACACTTTGACATTAACAGAAGTTATGAACCAAATGGACTTAACAGACATCTATAGAACATTTCATCCTAAAACAAAAGAATATACCTTTTTCTCAGCACTTCATGGTACCTTCTCCAAAATAGACCATATAATTGGTCACAAAACAACCCTCTACAGATACAAAAAGATTGAAATAATCCAATGAATCTTATCAGATCACCACAGACTAAGACTGGTCTTTAAGAATGACAAGACCAATGGAAAACCACATGCACATGGAAACTGAACAACTCTCTACTCAATGATTACTTGGTCAAGGAAGAAATAAAGAAAGAAATTAAAGACTTTTTAGAATTCAATGAAAATGAGGACACATCATACCAAAACTTGTGGGACTCCATGAAGGCAGTGTTAAGAGGAAAACTCATAGCTCTAAGTGCCTACAAAAAGAAACTGGAAAGAGCACACACTAACAAGTTGACTGCACAACTAAAAGCTCTAGAACAAAAAGAAGCAAATACACCCAGGAGGAGTAGAAGGCAGGAAATAATCAAACTCAGGGCTGAAATCAACCAAATGGAAACAGAAAGAACAATACAAACTATCAATAAAACCAGGAGCTGGTTCTTTGAGAAAATCAACAAGATAGATAAACCGTTAGCCAGATTAACCGGAGGGCACAGAGACAGTATCCAGATTAATAAAATCAGAACTGAAAAGGGAGACATAACAACAGAAACTGAAGAAATTCAAAAAATCATCAGATCCTACTACAAAGGCCTATACTCAACAAAACTGGAAAACATGGATGAAATGGACAATTTCCTAGACAGATACCAGGTACCAAAGTTAAACCAGGAGCAGATAAACCATCTAAATAGTCCCATAACCACTCAGGAAATAGCAGCAGTCATTAAAAGTCTCCCCACTAAAAAAAGCCCAGGACCAGATGGTTTTAGTGCTGAATTTTATCAGACCTTCTAGGAAGACCTAATACCAATTCTCTTCAAACTAATCCACAAAATAGAAACAGAAGGAACACTACCTAATTCGTTCTATGAAGCTACAATTACACTCATACCCAAACCCCACAAAGACCCGACAAAGAAAGAGAACTTCAGACCAATCTCCCTTATGAACATTGATGCAAAAATACTCAATAAAATTCTAGCAAACCGAATCCAAGACCACATCAAAACAATCATCCATCATGATCAAGTAGGCTTTATCCCAGGAATGCAGGGATGGTTCAATATTTGGAAATCCATCAATGTAATCCACTATATAAACAAACTCAAAGAAAAGAACCACATGATCATCTCACTAGATGCTGAGAAAGCATATGACAAAATTCAACATCCCTTCATGATAAAAGTCTTGGAAAGATCAGGAATTCAAGGCCCCTACCTAAACATAGTAAGAGCAATTTACAGCAAACCAGTA